AATCCCTGTTGGTGTGCAATTGAGAAAAGGCGTAAAACCTTTCCCATAGTGATACTCAATCTTTCATGTCTTTTGAAATCATGAATGTGCGATGCTTGGAAATATTTGTGGAAGACAAATAATATGTACAGATCTCGCTGAATTCTATCTTATTTTCTTCCCTCGTTCGATTTGATTTTCTGCTCCATTCGTAAATTTGTGATACTGTTTTCATTTAAATACGCTTATACAGTATTGCAATTGTCAAAAAAATGCAGCACTCCTCCGTAGGCGAAGCCTTCATTTGCTGAAGGTCTTCTCGTCTTTTTGCGTTGACTCAGTGATGATGTAATTTGTACCTTTTTTGTTTTTTGCTTTTAGACTCTTGCGAGAATTTTCATTCGAGCAAAACAAGACCCACGTTTCCGAGTTGCTGAATGCAGCGACGGCAGTTTTCCTGGATGCCGGCCGGAATCATCAGGCTGGCCCGATAGAAACTGCCCAGTTGTTGGTCATTGTTTCCGACGGCCGAGGGCTTTTCTACGAAGGCTCGGACAAGGTTGATGCGGCCGTCAGACAAGCCCGGGATGCAGACATTTTCGTCGTTTTTGTCGTCGTTGATAATCCGGAAAATAAGGTACAGCAGTCGAGCCGTATCTGTTGGGACGAGTTTGAAAAGACCAGGGGAAAAAATTAGTTGGGTCAAAACCTCACTAATGCGAATTTTCATTTAATCCTTGGTCAATTCCCGGAAGTCCAATGCAATTCAAAACTCCATATTTTTGGGTCAATTTGTTTTAATAAGTTGGAGCTTGCTTATCTGCCTAAAAAAAATATTAGAATTATTTGCTTCATGCTCTCCATGTGAGATTGGCATCTATGAAGAATGCATAGTTCTTAGCATTTGGCTGGAAAATATATTCAATTGGTTACCCTACCCAAATGAAGCCAAATTCCTGAACTCAAAGACGGTCTTTTAAATTAAAAATTTTATTTTTTTAAATTTTTTTTTCGGGTACTTCAAATTTAACTCGAAAAAGTTGAGCTGTAGCACATCTCCGTGAAATTTGAGCTGATGATTTATAGAGATTAACTCCAGGTAAATTTTTGCATGACTATGATAGTTTCGAAAGAACAGAAAATGTCATGTCTTGAATTTGAGTTTTTTTTTTTCATTTTGAAGGACTCCGTTTTGGACATCAGACAGCCGCAGTTTGCGAGCGATGGATCTCTGCTGGGCATCAAGTCCTACATGGAGAACTTTCCGTTTCCGTTCTACGTGATCTTGAGGGACATCGACGCCTTGCCGTCGGTGCTCGGGGACGCCTTGAGACAGTGGTTCGAGCTCGTCACGACGCCCAAATCCACCTGATGTGTATATTCGTCGCGTCGGACGTCGATGGCTTTCGGTGT